CCCCGGTCCCCGTCCCCTTCCACCCACGGAGGGGCACCGGCACCTGCGGGCAGGGGACACACGTGTTGCCCGCGGGACGCAGGGGGGGCTGTCGCTGCTGGGGTTCAGCCTGTCTGCAGGATGAGAGCAGGGGACACCGAACGGGAGAGCCCAAACCGGAGAGGGTTTGGGAAAGCTCCCGTGACTCAGTTTCCCCAGTCGTGGAAGCGCTCCCGTCCCCGCAGTGTTGCAAGGATTAACCTGTAAGCATGCAGTGTGTAGAGATCCTCCGGTGGAAAGTTCCTTATAGGGCAGTGTTTCCCAACCTTGGGAAGCTGATGAGCCCCCCGAGAGGAAAATGAAAGTGGTTCTCTGCCTCAAGTACCCGAGTGCTTTCCTTGCTCTGCTCTCCCGTAAAGGTGTCTGTGGCTGCAGCAGCAGCTCTTGGAGAGTGGTCGTCCTGCATGCACAAAGGCCTTTGCCATGCTTTGGGAAGTGCTTAACAAACCCCTCAGTAGAACATTAAATATTTCGATAGTTGTTCACATTGCTTGCTGAGTCCTTGAACGCAGTTTCCAAGCGCTACACTTTTCTTTTCTTTTCTTTTTTCTTTTTTTTCTTTTTAAATCTTGTACTTAAGTACAAGAAAGAATGAAAGAGGAAAGAAAAAAAAAAAGAATAGCTCTGAACTTCAGCTGTGAGCTGCTGGTTGCTTGGGTTGAAAGGATGAGTGCATGTGATGGATGGAACAATGTTTGAGTAGAGCGTGTAGCAAATGGAAAAGAACATGCCAGAGACGCTTCATAGGTTCTGATACGCTGTGTTTCTTCTCTCTGCTTAAAAAAAAATAAAAATTCATATGACATTTGCTCCTGGTGTACATCTCCTTCCTGCATTTATGTGTGCTGACTTCTTGTAGGTTTGCCTGTGAATGTGTGAATGGTTCGGTCACGCTCTCTGGTTGGCTTTCAGTGTTCTGCCTGCAAGCCTTCTGCAAAGCTATGCTCCAAGCTTATGGTAGTACAAGCATAAACGTGTTTTAGCATGTCCCTGTGTGTGTGCCCAGTTTTTGGAGGAAAAGGTATATACATGAAAGTGTGGCTGAATGGGGAAGTGGCTATGTTTTGAAAATAAAGTGATGGAAAACAAGCTTTTCGTTGATTGGTTGCATCTCATACTGTAGCCCATATTTGGTTCCATAGTTCACCTGTTTTCTTCTGCCTTTTTCTACCCTCAGGGTAAAGTAGAATACCTGGTGAAGTGGAAAGGATGGCCCCCAAAGTAAGTTGTGTTTACTCGTCTATTTTTTTCATTAATATTCCATAATAGCTTGCACTGTGTCTCTGTAACTGAGCATTTCATTCATAATGGGTAATGGCTTGTCCCTCATTTCAACAACAATAAACAAAACCAAAGAGCCACAAACCAAACCCAAATCTGTTTTTTGAATTGGCAGCTAATGAATACAAAACTGGGTGCCAGTCTATTCTGACTGGTTTTTGCCACCACTGAAATATTTCATTGAGATACTTTCTAAATACAAATGTTTTAAAATTCCTTAGGAGTCCAACAAAGAATCCAGATGCTTTTGAACTTGGAATGGCTCCTGCTTTTCTGAGTCAGCACCAAGAGGACCCCACTTTATTTTTAGAGCTGTCTGCAGTCTTTTAAAATAGAAAACGTGTTGATGGTCTTGTCTTCCTCTCCTACTGTTTCCCCTCTGCAGTCCACCAACGGAAAGGGGCAATGTTTCAGATTTATTGAGTGCAGCCAAATGCAGGTGATCTTTGTCCTTTGAAAATTACCACCATGCCTTCATTTCCTTCTCTGAAACCTCCTGTTATTTTGAGTGCCTTTTCTGCTTTTGCTTTGGTTTCTCCATTGCAAAAATGAAGAAAAGTTTTTTTTGTCATTGCTGTGCACTGTTTACAGACACTTCTCTCATTAAAATGCAGCTGCTTCTGAAGAAGAGCAATTTCTCTGTGCTTAAGCAGTCTGTGAAATGCACTGAGATTAGAAGGATTAGGTAACTGGAGAATATTACTATGTCAGCTAGCAGTCTAGTGGAACAGCCTCCTGGCCACCCCCTAAGGGCCCTGTCTTTGCTTTTCTGTTGGTGCCTGTGTGTGTACATACACAATGTGCGTGGGTACAGCAGTGTTACACACACAGTTGCTCTGCGTGTTGCTAAGCAATGGGAGCTGCTTGTTACGGGTTCATCCTCACAGCTGCAAAGCGGGGCCTGCCAGGATGGTTCTGACTGGCTGTACCTGGTGTCCAAAAAGCTGAAATGTGTTCTTGGGTGCCCAAGTGTTGTGCCTAATGCTTATGATTATAGGCCATGTGTGAAGATAAGCAGCTTCCCCTCTCTGGTGCTGGTGGGAGAGGGTGACTTTATTCTTGAGTGTTCTGCTGTCAGAGTGTAACCTCGTGCACTTGTCGAGCACCAGCTGCCATGTAGCGTGGGTCACTTCTTGGACCGCTTCATCCTCAAATAGCCAAGTCTTACTTCATCACTGATAGAGGGTGGGAAATTTATTTGGAGCCTGGGAGGCCTCATCCCCTCTTGGCCAGAATACTGGTGTTTATCCCATTCTCCTTTCAACAAACACATTGAAGTCCTTCTCTTGTAAAGTCCCTTGCCAAGAAGGTGGGCTGAGGCATGGCATAATGTTTCTTGGACAGAGCAGACCTTATTCTTAACTGCTGCCTTTCCTTGTCTGGTGTCTTGGAACACTGGGGGAGACAGAACACTTTGGGGAATTTAAAACACAGTTCCCCTGGATGGGTGATGTCAGAGTTCTCTTATTTTGATGTATGGCATGTCCAAGCATCTTCCCTCTTCCCCCAAACTCCAAATCTGAAGACTGTTATATTTTTTCTTTTCTTCTGTCTGCCTTCACTTTAACTGTTGCCTCAGTGGTTTGAATTACTTAAACTCAAGATGCTCAGAGCACTGGAGTCACTTTCATCCCACTAGAAGTCTCTGTTCCTTGTTTCTAAACATACATATGCCCGTGATGGCATGCAGCACCGCAAGCTGTTTGTATCTTTGTGTCTGTTTCCTCATCCCACGTTATTTCCTTCCTTAATTACCAACCTTGTTGCACTGCTCTTTGTAATCTCTGCACCTGTTATCCCATCATTCCCATTGGAAGTATCGTGGAAGGGAATAAAGATAGGTCAGTAGTTTACTGCTTTCACATGCAATTCATATTTCACTTTTTTTACCCCTCTTCTTAATAAAAAAAATCTTATTCATACCCTATACTTCACATTTATGGATTGCACTGCTGGAATCAGGGAATGGAGGAGTGACAATCTGATTCTAGCTACAAGCTTGTTTACAACTTGAGTTGGAGTTAAAAGGAGGGGGAAGAGGAGGAGTAGAAGGAGGGGGAATGAAGATCATATGATCTGTGTTTTCCAGAGTGCCTGCTCTCTGCAGTTTGCTGCAGCCTGGGCTGTGTGTACCCATATATATTTTTTTTTTTTTTTATATGCAGTGTTTTGCCACTGCAGCGAAGCCAGAATCTGAGCTGCAGAGAAGAAGGCAACGTCCACCAGGGCGGGTTTTTTTAAGCAAATCTCTTTTCTTCTCCTGCCTATGAAAAGCAATCCAATGACTTTTTGTCCCCCTTGTGGTGTTATTTTTCTTAAATTTGTAGGACGAGTGCCAGAATCCCTGCAGCTGGGAGGAAACCTTCCTCTTTTCAAATAGTATCTTGGCTTTGACAGCTCACAGTCAGGTTGCTGCAGGAAGCATGAGCAAATGAGGGATGGAGAGAGGGAGGGATCAGCTGGTTATGAAGACATATCTGTTCTTAACTCTCTGATGTACAGTGCACCTCGGGATATCTGAATGTCATATTTTTCTTTCTCCCTTTTGTAAAAAATTGTATTTTCATTTCTAGACCCATCCTCCAGTAATGTTCCTGTATTACAGTACCTTTCTTCTCTGTAATGGAGAAGTAAAAGGGAAAAGTATTCCCAAAACACCTCCCCTGTGTACCCCTGTATCCCGTGTCCTCACATGCAATCTGTGCTTCATCCAGAAATTTAAACATCCTAAAATGCTTTCTTGCTGTTTAAAGGCACTGATACAAA